AATAACTATTAACTTTAATAAATTATATTATATTAATTATAGTCTCAAAAATGTGTAAAAACACAATAGTTGTTGTATTTTGTTATATTATAATCATATAAATATAATTTAAAAAATGATTTGAAAAGATATAATTGGGACGGTATTGTTTCATTTTTTTAATAATAATTATATTAAATTTATATGGTTTATTTTTTGAATATCTTTTACATGATGAATGGTATTTAGAATAGTTATTTAACTAAATATTTAGGTCAGCGACTTTTAAGACCACTAAAAAGTCGGCGATTTTCAAAGGGAATATAAAGTCGCCGAACAGCTATAATAATATTTGTATCGTTCATTATGATACATTTTGAATAAAGTTTACCAATTCAATAGTTATTATATAGTTTACTTAAAATAATTCTCACTTGATATAGTTAAAATAATTAATATTTATTATAATTAATACTTTAGGTGTTCAAAAGATTTTTATTACCAAAAAAGTGGATTTTTAACACTTAAAAGTATACCAAATACGTTTTTGGGAAATGATTAACAATAACAAAATTATTCAAAAAATATTGTTTTATAATAATTCAAATAAAATAGTAAAAAATTATAAAATTAAACCAGTCTTAGCTTAAAAATTCGAATATGAATAACATCGAAGCGAATACTTTTTTGTCCGCCTGATTTAACACATCCAAATAATGCGAAGAATATTCGCATTTGTTGCATTCTTAACAATCTTCTTAAAGTTATTATCTCTCCAAATCATCAGAACATCTAATTCTGCAACTTGTTGAATTCTTAAAGTCGTGTTTAAATGAAACTCAAGACTCTTTTACAGTTTTTGTTCAATCACATCGGCAATACTATAGAATTTAGACTGTAAATTGTTGTTTGTTTCAACGTCAGGTTGTCTTTTATTTTACCCAAGATCGCGTCCATACTAATAATATTCGACATGTCATCAAACTGTAAAGCGGCTTTAGCAGCGTCAGACAATCTATTCATGTTGTCGTGAACTTTGTCCTCTGTATTTATTATGAGGCTTTCCATTGTATCGGCTTAGTCTTTTAAGCCTTAATCGGTTTATTCAAGTGACTCACTTATCGGCTATGGTTCTAGCTGCTATTCTATGTCTCGATATTTTTTCACCTTGCATTGTCAAAGCTTAATGAATTTTATGTATTATTAAAGTTTTTTATTACAACTATTATAAAAATATTTAATACTTTTATATTATTTTTATAGTTAAATTATAGTAAATATCGCGTATGTAGTATATTAATAGATTATTTTAAGTTCTATAACAAACAATCATAAAAAATTTAAAAATAATAAAAAATAGAACTCAAAAAACAAAAAATGGAACTTATACACAACAACGTTAAATTTGAATTTTGTGAATTTTGGTTTTTAAGGGGTTTTTTAAAAGCAAAAGAAAATGGTTTTGAAACAAAGTTTTATTGTTTTACCCACAATAAATGGTATGCACCCGGTTCGCTATACCGCCATTATTCGACCCATAGCTTTAAATTTCCCGAAAATTTGGCCGATAATGATCCCAATTTGGATTTAATTAAAAAACAATATTCAAATTTTTTAATTACTGGAAATAAAACAACGGTTCAAAATTCGTTTGTAAAAATTAGTTGTGTATTAGACAAAGATGAGTTGGTTAAAAAATTGAAACTTAAAAACCACCCACCACCTCCCCCCAAAAGACCAAGAAGAAACACAACGACAGTTATTGATATGTTTACAATAACAAGTAAAAATGGCACATTTGAACAAAGTGAACAATCAATGCAAATGGAAGATGCAAATAAACAAAAACGCAATACCTTCCGCTTTTGTTCCTGTTCAATGTCTTCCGTCATTTTTCAGTGTTGAGAACAATGTCAGTAACACATTTGGAAGAACTACAATGATGTTAAAAAATGAAGAAGAAGAGTCACAGAGGAGTGGAGGAATAGAAAGTAATGGGAATCTAAAGGGTATCCGACCGCATGACGCAGTGGAGAAGAGTGGGAACTTAACCACTCCTGCTTTCGTTCCGGTTCCAGATTTGCCATTTACTTTCGAAACTCCCAACCTTCTTAGAAATCGAGCAATGCAAGAACACCAGATCCAAAACGAAAGTGTTATCTTCGGACAATCAGTCATACAAAGTGTACAAGAACAAGTACAAACACCATCCAATAAAACTATTGAAAACAACCCAATCACAAATACTTTACTACAACAAAGTGATTATAACAACTTCGACGATAATCAAACTTTTTCATCTGACACTGAAAATATGTCATTAGAACAAAACTCAGACGAAGAAAGTGATAGCGAATTTGAAGATACAAATAATGATTATATTGTTCAAAATGAAAATGATGAAAAGGAGGAAAGAGAAGATGAAAAAAGATAAAAAAATAAAATCAACTTATTCAACAACAACTTCTTTAATGAAATCACAAAGAAAAGTTTAAACAAATGGGACAAAAAGTTGTTATTTTTCAACAAAAGTAAGTTTGATGCAGAAAGTGGAAGTACATCAAAACAACGCTTTTTCGTTTTGTGTGATTATTTGTTTAATAAATATGAAACAATTGAAAAATTAAGAGACGAAAGAAGAACAGCAAAAGGAAAAAACAAACCAAAAAGAAAATCATCACTCCATGTATTGAAAAAGATGTTATTAACCTTTATGATTTCATCGACTTTCATTGATCTGAATTATTCAGAGTCTCAAATGAACGGAGTTGCAGATGTTCTTAAGTATTATCAAAGATTGGTTTTTTGTATAAATCCCGAAAATTTCGAAAAGGTGTCAATAAGTCCTTCTACTGTTCGTAAAATAATAAAAGATTGCAACGAAATGCGCAGAGGAAGAAATCTCAAAGAAGTCAGAAAAGGAATATGCGCACCAATTGAAATTGATTCTTTGTCTAAAAAAGGTCAAGATATTATGGGTGTTTTAATGCGTTATTCAACTGGTGAGGTGATTAAATGTTGTCCACTTTTCCAAGAAAAATACAATCATTCAAAAAGCGGAGTAGCAATGGCCAATTGTTTATTCACGAGATTATTAAATATATAATTTCCAATTCACTTGATCAGCTCTTTGGTGTTCGATTCAACAAGTTCTAATACATCTAAAAACGTTGGTCTATTTGTTGAATTTTACAATCTGGTCAAAAAAGCAAAACTCAAAACCATTGAAGGAAGCATAGTGTCTCAAACTTTAAAAAGTGTTAGTTGTTTTGGACACAGAGTAAATTTAATTGCGGAAGATAGCAACCGAATGGATCAGACTGCAATTATGACTGCTTTTGTTACTTATTTCTGTCAAAGTGATACTCTGAAAAGATTTTATTTGTTTAGAGAGTATGAAACTCCTCCACTTAGTGTGGCATCAAGGACTCGATGGCTTGAGATTATAAAAAATATCAGAGATATCGAAGAAAATTATGGTCTGATTTTGTTGTATCAACAACAACTTATCTTTTTCAGTTAAAAAAATTAAAACCCATTCATTTCCTTTTAAGAATGAAAATGGTAAACAAGTTGCGAAATAATTTAAAACGACACTTAATATCAAATTATCAAATTCTTAACTTTATTTATTTCAATATAACTTTTTGATGCCGAAATTATTTTTATTTCAATAATAATTGAAATGAATAAAGTCACTCTAAAATAGTTATCTGTTTTGAAGTAAAAGTTGTGTTTTTATTTAAATAATGTGAATTATGTAACAACTCGAACAATATGAAAAAAACTGAAACAATGAAATTATAATTTATGGAAATTTTACAAAAATAACTGTTTAATTATTTAAAAAAGTACTAGATAACATTTTCGAACAGATAACCTAAATAAATTGACTCTGTGTAATATTAAATATAGTCAGTCTTACAACGTTATCTGGTCTCAAACGTTATCTGGTGCCTTTTGGACCATAAAAATTGAATAATTCGGAAAGCATTCCCAAAAATCCATCCCAACTTTTTTGAGTTTTTTCACGCTTTACCTAATGCCCGATGTTTAGACAACAATGGAGGTATTTTTTTGTCCACCATATGACATTAAAAGACTGATCCTAGATTGAATTTATGGGAAAACGTTATCCTAAGCTCATTTGCCAAAAGCACTTGAAAAGTATTAGGACTCTATTCGAAATAATCAAAAATAATTGTTCAGTTATAATTATTTTTTTGAATAATATTGTTGATAGTTGAATTATTAGATATTTTATGATTGATTATAACAATAATTATTAAAATTGAACCAAATAAACACCTGCACAAATATAATTATATTGAGCCAAAAATAAACAGCCTTGATTTTGCTTAATCATTTCTCATCTGCAACTTTCTCCTTCTCTTGTCTGTAGTTAATGCCTGGGTACATTAAATTCAATCATAGGAGACGATGCTTGATATAACTTGTTTCTGATATCGACATTGCACCTTGTGATTGAGTTGTAAGTTGTCTCGTGGATATCTGATGCTTCCATACCAATAAATGATGGCTAGTGGTGTGCTTCTGGACATCTGAATCTCTCGTTTCCAACGGTGATGACTTCACCATTTGATAGTTAATGTGATTTCCTAAATTCTGATGATGGGTAAGCCTTCTGCATTTCTCTGTTGATGTCTAGAGCAATGTAGTAAACACTAATTTGTGTTTAAAATTCACAAAATAATTAGTTTATGTTTTTTATTTTTATTTATAAACATGGAAAACAAGTCTTTTGTTTTTAATTTATTACTATGAATGGAACACAATTACGTGTACTTTCAGGAAATAACGATAAAAACACAAGAAAAAAAATAAGATAATTTGCAACAATTTGTCCTGAATTATTATGTTGGTTTGTAATGTTTTTATTTGAACTATAAATTCGATTGTAATCAATCTCTAATTATTCTATTCTTTTTAATTCTTCTTGTTTTTTTTGTCAAGTATGTTTCTGTTTTTCGATAATTATTTTTTTTATATACAACAACATTATATTACCATTTATTGAAATAAATATATTATTTAAATAATTATTGATAGTAGAAGAAAAATATAATCGATACTAAACACAATCTGTTTAAAAAACCAATTTTCTTAAAACTATTATCAATTGTGTTGTTGTATTTATAAAAAATAATAAAATCGTTTACTAATAAGTTTCTATTATAATTATTATATTAACGTAGTTGTGTATATTTTAAAAATAAAACAAAAAAGTTGTTTTGTTTATTTGGTTTAATTGAGAAATTTGAATCAATTTTTATTTTTTTGATGGATTTCAAAAAGTAGCAATAGTATATTTTTACAATTATTTATTTATTATTGTAAATTAATGTATATTAATTTGGATTCAAGACAACGAAAAATATATTTATCCATCAAACGTTTGAAAATAATTCCACTCAATGAAACATAAAAACAAGCTAATAATTCATTTTTAAATTAGTTTGAATTATAAATATAATCAATAATAACAATGAAAATTAGTTATAATTTGTATTATTTTAAAATAAATATAATCTAAAGTATAAATTTATTTATAATGTTTTTTTATTAATTTAGATTATTTTTATACAATTCAATAATATTTAATAAATTATTTATTGATCGTTTTTTATAGTAATATTATTATTTATTATATATATGTAAATCAATGTAATATTATAATATGTTAAATTAAAACAATAAATTTCTATCGCAAACATTTTTATCGAATTAAAAAACATAAACCTTATGCAAGAAGACGAGATTGTTGGCACATTTAAATGGAAGAAAGAAGGAGAATCACAAAAAGGCTCACGACCCGTTAAAGCTTCGCATAATCCGACTTACTCGTTTGATCCCAAAAGAAGTAATTTAACTGAAGTTGAGTGTTTTAGGTTGTTTTTTTGTGAAGAGATAACAAATAACCTTTTATTGTTTTCAAATAAAAAAATAGCCAAAGAACATAAGACTGATGATAACAAACTTTCTAAAACGAGCATCCTGAGGTACCTAGGAATTCTTCTCTACATGGAAACTCACCATGATGTCATTAATCCCGTGGAAGAGCTTTGGTCAATCGACCACGGAAAATCTATTTATAGAAATAGCATGCCACGTGACATGTTTAAATTCATTTCTTCACACATCGAAACTTACGATGTGGACCAGCCAGATGATGTTTGTGATGATACATCAGAAACTTCAGATGATGGGGATGTCGAAGAGAAAGAGGAAGCTGACAACGGACCAGTAGGAGAGTATTTCAACTGCGCGGGAATATTCAGATCGAGATTTCAGAGATATCTCTTACATCTTTATTCGTCTCCTTATTTATTTTATGTTGTCGAACTTTATTCCGTCCATTATTAATTGTTGATTTTTTATTAACTTAAAAAACATTCAACACGAGTCAATTGTTTTTATTATATTCCAAAAAGTGCGAAGGTTAATTATTTAATTTAAATAATGCTTCTTATAACCTGTTTAGTTGTGGATCCGATCCCAAACATGTCAAATTTTTCGAGTTATATTATGTTTTTTATTTATTATGTTTTGTATTAGTTTATATTTTTCAATGTCTGTTATTAGTATAAAGAATTCAACTGTATAACACCCAACTGTCTGGTTAAATAAATAACTTAGGGCAACATAAATTAGAGTGGTCATCAATATGAACTATCTCGTCATCACCATTCTATGTCACATACTTGACTATCCAACAAGTATTCATTAATAAAATTTATTTTCGTTATAATTTACTCTTAAACAATAAATTTTAATATTATTTTCAGTTTTTCATTGTTTCCCACAGAGCAAAAAAATGTAAATCAGAAAGAAAAAAAAAGAAATTATCATTTTTGTCTTTTTGGTTTGCCACGTCACAAAAATGCCACGCAGTGCACAAATTGTTACGGTTTGGATTGCCCTGATTGGTATGGAAGAAAAAAATAAAAGGAAATACTTTACTTGGAATAACACAATTAATTCAAAAAAATATTTAAGGGTTTCTTGAGGATAATGTGTATCCTCAGGATTAAAGCTATCCTTATTAAAAAATATTTTTCTGAGGATACAAAAATCAAATCCATAAGGTTCAGTTCCCCATAAGGCCCACTCTCATAACTCAAGTTATAATTTACACTTAATATTTCGAGTCAAAGTTCCAATTTTAAATAATGGTGATAATTTGTCATAAATGTTAAAAAATTAAATACAATCAAAAAATCGCCACAATAATCAGTGAACAAAAACAATAATTATATCTCGCGAACTTGAGAGGGGAAATAACAAATTGTGTATTAAACTTGTTCACATTATGATTATATACTTATTGAAATTATTTCCGAATCCGTCTTTATAACATAATAATTGAAATTTACATTTAAATTGATAATTGTTTTTTTATCAAAATGAAAATTGAAAAAGTCGAAAACACTGATTTTCTAAAAATGTGATTTTAAAATAACAAATTTATTAATAATTTTGTAATTTATGCAATTATTCAAATTTATTATAATAACAAAGTTAATCATATTGTGTATGTTTTAATATGATTGTTTCATTTTGATATTAACTTGTGTTTTAAACAGATTTACAGTTCTGAGGATGGCAATTATTTTCTGAGGATGACAGAAATAGAAAGTTTACACTTTTACATCTGTCTGAAATGTATATTGAGTAAGTTATTATTTTTGAATATGGAAACACGTCATTTCACTTTTTAGATGTTTAAGTCTGTGTTGACAATGTTTGTTTGTTACACGACTTGCCATCCTCAGAGATATTTATAGCACTGCCACTATTGATTTAAAATTCTATAAATAAAATTATCAAAGAATTTTTATAAAGTGTGTTTTGTTAATTGATTATATCAAAAATCGTCAAAACACAACAAAAACGCCAAACAATATATAAAATTGATTATTTAATTAAAGATACATTTCTATTGAAATTAATATTGTATAAAAAAATAATATAAACATATATTTCTTGTGTATATATGTTTTGAAAAATAAATAAACCCGTTTATAACAAAAATGATTTTACAAATTTGTTTATTTATCAATCGTTGTTTCATCGATATCCAAAACCTCTCGTTTTGAATTTGCGCAAATACATAAATTGTCATCGCATAGAGTGTACGTTATTAATATGTTATTTGCTATCAATTTTTATTGTTTAAAATATCATAAATTGATTTATAATAAATTGTATTTTTTGTGAAAAAGATTTAAAATTGTTTGATTAATTTGTTTTGTGATTTTGATTAAAAAATCTACTTTTTGGTAATTTCAATGTCTGTCAAATGTTTCCATTTAGACCAGGGTTGGTCTTGTGGTAAATCAAAAAATAGAAGTAGATTATTTTTTTTGTAAAAATCAACTGAAAGAATCATCTTTCAAAAAATCCATAAATAGCATTTTTAAAGAAAATCATGTGTTTCAAAATATATATTTTTGATCTTAGGCAAAAAAAATCTAAATTGAAAGAAATTATGTTTAAGATATTTGCCATCCTCAGAAAAATTAACAATCCTCATGAATCCCTTTATAATATAGAGCAAAACGAGAGTGATTTTAAAATATTTATTTTTTTATTTTTTTATAACGGTCATATAATTATAGTCGGTGTAATTTCTCAATTAACAATTTTCTTATATAACCGATATAATTTTTGGTTTTTGTTTAAAACGTCAAAAATCCCATAAACAAATAATCCCGAAGTACTCGACCTAACTCGGCTGTTGTAACGCATCCACCTAAATCGATCCATCCACTGCAACTTTTTAGGACGATCTCCCAAAAGTTTGAAAAAAATAACCCAATTTTATTTCAAGTTCCTCATTTTTCATTTTACTATACTTTTAATTCAGCTACCAACATAAAACTATACTTTGCATATCGGAATACATTTTGTAGATCGTAATATAAATTACTTATCATTACAATGTATCATTTACAAGATCATTTATCTGAAACCGCTATAAAAATCAATGTAAAAAACAGTTTTGTTTTGATATTATTATTAATTAATTTAACGAGTTGTTTTTAAAATAATGAACAGATAATAACGAAGAACTTTTTTTGAAATCTATGTATTCATTGAAGTAAAAAATTAACGATATTGTTTATAAAATAGCGTGTAAATTAAAAAATTGTTTAATTAAAATAATAATGTTAACCGGCCAATAGTATTTTTTTTCTTTGGCAAAATGCAGGAGACTCAAATAATTGCGTTTTTTCTATAAATATAAAAATGAGAAAAAAATTCTAAAAATAATTTACATATAAATTTGCTATTGCATAAGAGGCATTTTTCAACAGTTTTCACATTACAGCAAGAGATCAGACACCAGGTTTTTACAACTATTCTAATGCGATTTTAATTTTAGGTCTGAAACATAATCGACCAATTTTTTCCCAGACACTAGTAATGAGTAGAAAAATCTTTATCATAACTGTGACAACATCGGAGTAGCAAGACAAACTTATTACAATTACATTTTTCGTTGATTTGTGCGGCAGAATGGGTTTACAAAAAAATTGTTAGTTATTTTATTTAAAAAAATCTAAAAATATTTTTTACACATTTTATCTAAACAAAAACAATAACTAAATGTCAATTTTATTTTTTTAAACGCGTTTTTTTGCGTCTCGTTTATTTTAACACGTTGGAGCTTCCTTTTTTCAGTTTTATATGAAAAAAATAAAAAAGTTGATGTTTTATTTTTTTGCCGAGTGTAAACAAATTAAAAAAAGAGGAAAAACCTGTTTGAGCTCCTTTGTGGATTTTTATCCTTGTGATTTTAGAAAAATTAATATTCAAATGATAACAAAAATCACTAAGATATTCGAATTATTGTTATTTTGTACCATCTCCAAGTGTTTTATAATTTGTGGTAATTTGCTAAGACGAAGAACGTTTGTAATAAGCGTTTTTGTCGATACTTGAAGTGACTTTTCATCAACTTGATCCACACTAATTCATAGAGTGTTTTTATCGTAAATATACATGCTTTCAATTGTAGATATTAGTACGTCTATTTTTTCTAACAAGATTAACTTTGACAATCGTCCCTAAAATTAAGTATCTTTATCATAATATTCAACGTTAAACATATTACTCAATTTGATATTGATATAAAATTTTTTAAAAACGAACTGTTTTTGTTTAAACCTTTAGTTTTTATAATCAAAGGCGTCTTTTCCATCAAGGACTCGATCAGATATTATCGTTTTGAATTTTGGAGATTATTCAGTGAAATTGTTATTTAAAAAATTTTGTTTTAATAATTCGGCAAAATTATATGTTGTGTTTTAATGAAAAAAATTCTGGGAAAAAACACAAAATAAACTCCAACGTGTTAATCGGTTAATAAAAATATAATAATTAACATATTGAATGATAATAATAACGTAGTAATGTGGCAGATGACAACATTTGGTGATATTATTTTTTAATAAAAGTAATTTTATTATTTGCAAAAAATCTTTAGTTTTAATGACAAAATTGACTTTATTTTACTAAATAATTGTTTGTATCCCGCAAAAAAGCGAGTATCCACTGGATGGACGTTTATCCAGTGGATAGACGTCCATCCACTAGTATGCCCTAAATTTATTAAAAAAGCAATTCATTATTATACATTATTAAAAAATGTATTTTATATTTTCAACCAATTTTAATGTTATTATAGTTCTAATTGATATTAATATAATATTATGTATAGTTTATTTACCATAAAAAGCAAATATGTTTTTCCAAAATTTTTTAATAACATTTTAACAAAACAACACTTCTATTTTTTTTCACAAAAAAACAATTTCTATTAAAGACTTATTAAATTACTTAAAATAAATCTGTAACCCAATTAATCCTTGTTACCCATTTATTACTATTACATTATTACTCTATTTATAATGTAGATCTACAGTCAAAGGCGTCTATTTGTCGTGAATCCAACAGAAAAACGTATCTATTTGTCGTAAATAAGTGAATTTTCGAGAAAATTCTTTTTAATATTGAAATTTATTTTTTATAAATAATTTAGTTTTTAATTCAACAAAAGTTACAGATTCGAGAACAAAATATTGTTCTCGAATCTGTAATTTAATTGTTGTACACCAAAATGATTAGCCAGTTGTGCAACAATTACGGATAGAGTATTTAATTTATGCCAAGAAATTAAAGGATTAATTGATGTAATTATTCGGGTTTTAATTTTTTGTTTTTTATTTGTTTTTTTTTCTTGGTAATAATTGATATGAAAAAAATGCCAAACTCATTTCAATTCTTAAAATAATTCTGGCACCCAATAAGTTTCTGGCACCCCGTAAATACTCGATCTGTAAGCAAGTTCGACAATTATA